AAAATTTCTATACTGAACAATAATTTTATATTAATAAAATAATAAATAAAATAATAAAATAATAAATAAAATAATAAATAAAACAATAAAAACTGAATAATTGTATCTCATAAATGTTTCTCATTATTGTATCTCATAAATGTCTAACCTGTGACCCAAACTTTATTTTTTAATTACATTACCAAACAGAATACTCCATTCTACTGAATGCACAGTAAATGACCATATGACCTGCCTTTGTAATACTCATTTGTGCTAAATTGTTATCTGTTTACAATAATGTTTTTACCACTGAATATATCATTGCTTAGTTAATCTTAAGCCTGCCCATAATGCTCTGCATACAAGGGGCTTTGGCATGTTGCACTTTAATAACTGTATTCCTTCGTACTTCTCTGCATCATGTTCAAATTAATAAATAAAATAAATAAATAAATAAATAAATTTCTACATGAGCAACAATTTTTTGTCATGTGGCAACGTTTGTAGCAAGAGGTTATGTAACTAAATTTTGGATCAGTAACTGATGCGACCAGCTTTGGATCAACAGGTGATGCGATCAACAGGTGATGTGACCAACAACTTTGTAACTACCGGCAATTTAGCGAAGTTTTACTTCATCAGTTTATTTGACGAAATTACACGGACAACTATGTAATCCTTTGTAATAGAGGGATGGTATGTTTCATTAAACTTTAACAACTACTATATAATTTAATGTTAACAGAATCAAATTGTAAACAGCACATCTTTTGCTATTATAAATTGTTCTGAAATATCGCTTAAAAACCTGTCATTGAGGTAATAGTCATGTACAAAAAGGTTGAAATACAATAAATTTAGTAACATATATCATCAATTTACGTTCATATGCAGGGTTGCTACGTCGGTGAAGAAGTGGAGGAGTGAGGGGGTCTGGTTGTTGCGGAGTGGTAGCCATGTGGGGGGAGGTGGTGGGAATAACTCCCCTATCTGGGACCAGCAGTCCTGTCCCTGCCACTCCCCACCAGACCAGCCTCCCGACTCACCCGTCACTACCACCCAAGGCCCACTCCTCAACCCTTCCCTTGTTCAATCCTATCCTGCTCTTCCACTCTCCCTCCTCACACTCACTCATTCAGACACACAGTTAAACAATCACAGTACGTAAAACACATGATACACCTTCACTTGAGAGTTACTGCTTGTAGTGTCAACCACCATATCACCACCACCATGTCCATCTATGCCTTTGTCACAAATAACACATTGTTAAGTTTCATCACTGTAATGTGTTCACATTAGTATTTAGAAATACACTGACCACTTTTTTCAAAACATTTTAAACACAATCGTTCAATGTGTGATGATGAACTGTGGAGTATATGGGTGGCGATGGGCCTGCTGATTGGCTAGTGTAAGCAGGCCTGGTGGGCAGTGCCCCTTGCTAAAGAGAGGAGTTGAAGCCATGGTGCGGCAATACTGTAGAGGATGATGTGGGGGTATAAAGCGAGGAGGAGGAGGGAGAGCGGCGGCGGCCTCCAGCCAGCTAGACGGACACACGCTCACTAGTGTAGGCAGAGACTTAGCGGGTGGTAGCAGTGGCGACGGCACAAGGGAACGAGGCGGCCCTACCTCCACACGGCTGGGCGGCGCACCTCACACTGCCCTCTCCCGCGTACGAACGCTACACCGACCTACCTACACTGTAGGCCCGCCACGCGCGCCTCTGCCAGGACACTACCCCACGCACGCACCCACACATGCAACACTCAACACAACCAACCTTACATAAAATTCTACTCAAGTTCATCATAGATGATCCGAAGTGTTCAGTGAGGGTTCAAAAATGAGAGTAATAGGATAAAAAGTTTTAGTCTTGCAGGTCCAATGATTTAAGTGAGAAGGCGGGGTACACTGCCGCCTTATCTTGCTGGCCAACCACCACTCGACCGGCACCCTACAGGGATCTACCCAAGGACAAACTCCACCTTAATCAACACGCCAACCCAACACCCTGACAAAATTATGATCCATAGGCCCTTACTGGAGTGGAAGACAGGAGTGAGAAAAGTAGGGGGTGCCACAATTAACGACACTGCATCTGAAGTCAACGACTCTGACCTTCTGCTAACGAACTTATAAATATTGCTGAAACAAAGGCAGAAGGCTTCAAGAGGAAACTGGAAAAGTATTTGCCGGATCAGCCAGGGTGTGACTGCCATTTAGGCCTGCAGGCCAGGGGAAGTAATAGTTTAGCTGATCAAGCGGTTACTGGAGAAGTCTGACCCAAGAAAGGCAAACGAAAATATTATTATAGAAACCAGTGAGAGGTCGAGGTGTGGTAAGGGGGAGGCATAGGAGGACCAATAACAAGTAGGGCGCACAAAGATAGCTATGGGAGGGAGAGCAGGCGCGAGTAGGGTGTAAAGAGAGCGCGGGTAGAAAGAGAGGGAGGCAGGCAGTCTTGGTCCGCTGAGGTGGCTCCCTCGCAACATCTTGCAACCACGCCGGCCTACCCCCCAGGCAACCACCACCCAACACACTTTCAAATGGCTTCGTTCACCTCGTGTAATGCTTCGCCCACCCACATACTACTACGCTGGTGAGTGAGGGAGTGCGAGCTGCTGGTGTTCTTGTGCTAGTATGGGCCTGAGAATGCAAGAACAACCTCAGTGTGTGGAGGGAGGCCACCTGCACCCACCCCCACCCCCCAACGATCACTTCCCCGCCACCCTAACAAAGACTAACAAAAAGTAACGGCTCCAAAAAGCTGTGAGCCAAGCCTGAGGTCACCCTCTCTGTCTCCTTAGGTCTCTTAACCCCTTTACTTTACTCTACTAGAATTTCTGCCACGTGTCTAGGCCCGACCCTCATGCCAAGGTGCGCTGCCTTGTTTAGGTTCGTCTCCAACACCAAGGTCCGCCGCCTCTATTATAATAACAATAATAATGATAATTACTTCGTGCAAAACAAACAATTAGTTTAAATGATTTAATACAATAGTAGACACAAAAGAAAGCTATTAATTATGCAATGCATATCAGGCAAGACCCGCCCCCTGTGCCTATGACAAGGCCCGCCCCAATGCCAAGGCCCATCCCTATGCCAAGTTCCGTCCCCTATGCCAAGTTCCGCCCCCCCCCCCCAATGTGCCTAGAAAACGTGGCTCAGCCCAGCAATTCAACACATCCAAGTGCCAAACCACACTGCTATTAGCCGCATCACTGCACAAGACACAATACACCACATCTTACCTACCAACACTTACACATTTTTCATTTTAGATTTGGTCCCGAAGGTCAGGTTTATTGGGCAGTGCCACTCAGCCACTGAATGAATATACTACCATAAAGATTGTACAATGTACTAGGATAATAGACAGAAGCCACTCAAGATTTGCAGTTTGGCAGGATTGTTGGTTTTTACTCTGCCTGACACTTACGTATGCTGGGAGGCAGTCGAGCAGTCTTGGGCTCCTGACACTTATTGTGGTGTCTCTCAGTGTACTCGTGGCACCCTTGCTTTTTATTGGGAGGATGTTGCACTGTCTGCCTGTCTTTTGCTTTCATAGGGAGTGATTTTCGTGTGCAAGTTTGGTACTAATCCTTCTAGGATTTTCCAAGTGTATATTATCATGTATCTCTCTCGTCTGCGTTCCAAGGAATACAAATCAAGGGACTTCAACCGTTCCCAGTAATTTAGGTGTCTTATCGTACTTATGTGTGCCGTGAAAGTTCTTTGTACACTCTCCAGGTCAGCAATTTCGCCTGCCATGAAGGGGGGGGCAGTTAGTGTACAGCAGCATTCCAGCCTAGAGAGAACAAGCGATTTGAAGAGAATCATCATGGGCTTGGCATCCCTAGTTTTGAAGGTTCTCATTATCCATCCTATCATTTTCCTAGCCGATGCGGTCAATACAGTATTGTGGTCTTTGATAGCGAGATCCTCTCACATTATCACTCCCAGGTCCTTCACATTACTTTTTCGCTCTATTGTATGGTTAGAATTTGTTGTATACCTTGATACAGTTTTAATTTCCTCAAGTCTTCCATATCTGAGTTGAAATTTCTTTTCATTAAGCTTCATATTGTTTTGAGTAGCCCACTTGAAGATTTGGTTAATAATGTCCCCTTGGAGTCTTGCTGTGTCTTCGATGAAGGACACTGTCATGACAATTCGGGTGTAATCTGCAAAGAAAGACACAGAGCTATGTCTTACATCTCTATGTCAGATATTAGGATGAGGAATAGGATGGGAGCGAGTACTGTGCCTTGGTGGAACAGAGCGTTTTACTTTAGCTGCCTAGGACTATACTCTGTTTACTATTACTCTTTGTGTTCTAGTTGTCAGGAAGTTATAGATCCATCTACCAACTTTTCTTGTTATTCTCTATCTTGCATTTTGTGCGCTCTTACACCGTGGCTTTTGCAAAGTCTGTGTATACTACATCTGCATTTTGTTTATCCTCTACAGCATCCAGGACCGTGTCATAGAGGTCCAGTAGCTGGGACAGGCAGGAGCGACCTGCTCTAAACCCGTGTTGCCCTGGGTTGTGTAACTGATGGATATCTAGGTCGTTGGCGATCTTGCTTCTTAGAACCCTTTCAAATTTTTTTATGATATAGGATGTTAGTGCTATTGGTCTGTAGTTCTTTGCAATTACCTTATTGCCACCTTTGTAGAGTGGGGCTATGTCTGTTGTTTTTAGTGAGTGTGAATGACCCGTGTCCATGCTCCCTCTCCATAGAATGCTGAAGGCACGTGACCGGGGCTTCTTGCAGTTCTTGATGAACACAGAGCACCATGAGTCTTGGCCTGGGCTGAGTGCATGGGCATGTCATTTACTGCCTCTTCATAGTCTTGTGGTGTTGGGATAATATCAGAGATTTTTGAGATGACAAAATTTTGGGTTTCATTCATAAAGAATTCATCTGAAGTGTTGACCCTTAGTCTGGGTAACGGCTCACTGAACACCGAGTCCTATTGGGACTTCAGTATCTCGCTCATTTCTTGGTTGTCATCTGTGTATGTCCCATCTAGCCTAAGCTGGGGCCCAATACTGGATGTAGTTTTTCCCTTAGATTTGGCATAAGTATTTTTTTTTTCAATTTCCTTCATGGCTTTTAGTTCTTCCTGCAATTCTTGTCTTCTGTAAGATTCCTTCAGCTTAAGTTCGATATTTGCTGTTTCATTGACCAGTGCCTCCCTTCGTATTCAGATACACTGGCCCCCTCTCATCATCTTTTTTTTTCCCCTTAATGGAATGTGCCTTGAGCAGCTCTCAAGAACCATAGAGCTCATTTTTTCTAGGCAAAGGTTCGGACCCATGTTGTTTAGGATATCTTCTCAGCTTGTTTCATTTAGGACATGGCTGACTTGTTCTATGTTTTTGTTACTGAAGTTGAATTTTGTGGAGAAACCCTCATGACCGATCACATTTTGCTGGTCAGGAGCCCTGTGCATACATGTCTGTACCTCTATTATGTTGTGACCTGAGTGCACTGTCTTTGAGACGGTTATATTACTCATCAGAGCGTCGCTGTTTGTGAAGATGAGGTCCAGTGTATTTTCGTCTTGTAGGCTCAAATATTTGCTGGTTTAAGGTGAATTTGGTGCAGAGATTTAATAGCTCGTGTGTGTGTGAATTTTCATGCGAGTTGCCTCCTGGGGTGATCTCTAAAATAGTATTTACTACACTCCTCCATTTTAGGTGTCTCATGTTAAAATCTCCCAGTAACAAGATGTTTGGGGCAGAAGTTGGGAGATTTTCCAGACAGTGGTCAATTATCAAAAGCTGTTCCTGGAATTGCTGGGAAGTTGCATCCGGAGCTTGTACACAACCACAATGACAAGGTTTAAGTTTTCAATCTTTACTGCCAAAACTTTAACTACATCATTTTAAGTGTTTAGTAGTTCTGAGCAAATGATCGACTCTGTGACATACAAGCCAACCCCCCTCCCCTTGTTGCCTGTTTAGTCTGTCGCATCGGAATAGGTTATAACCTGGGATCCATATTTCGTTGTCAAAACGATCCTTTATGTGGGTCTCTGTGAAAGCTGCAAACATTACATTTGACTCCGTGAGCAGTCCCTTGATGTAAGGAATTTTGTTTGTTGACGGCTTTAGACCCTGTATGTTTGCAAAGACAAATGTCGTTATACTGATGGAATTTAGGGGGGGGGGTTATTTGCTGGCTCTAATATTTAATATATTCCTAATACCTCCCAAATAGAACCCAAAGAGTATTAGTAAATGAAGTGAGATTTGGGGTTGCTACAGTGAAAAGTTCTATCGCCCAAGGCACGGTACTCGCCCCACTTCTGTACATCATTCTCACTTTTGACACAGGAATATTAGGGGTATTACCAATAGACCCCTGGCTGTCTTTAAGAAGGCTTTGACAGGCACCTAAAGTCAGTACCTGATCAGCGGAGCTGTGGTTCTTACGTCGGTTTACGTGCAGCCAGCAGTAACAGCCTGGTTGATCAGACCCTGATCCACCATGAGACCTGGTCTCAGACCGGGTCGCGGGGGCGTTGACCCCCGAAACCCTCTCCAGGTAAACTCCAGGTAAGCTGATATAAGCCAAGTCTTCCAATGGGCCACTGACAACAGTGTGGACAATTTACAGTTATTACGTCATGTAGGAAGAGAGGAATCAAAAACAAGATCAGAGTACAAGACAAACTCAAACCGCTCAATAGGACGTATGTAAAATGTGAGAGACGTAGGAGTGATAATGTACAACGGCATTATCGCAATAGCAAGAAAACTGATAGACTGAATAATTAGAACCTTCAAAACAAGGTATGCTAAGCCAATGATAACTCTCTTCCGGTCGCTCGTTCTCTCTAGGCTGAAGTATTGCTGTGTACTAACGGTATGGAAACCATGGTTGAATTTCAGAAAGATCTGGCAAGTTTGAGCTAGCAGGCCTGTTGCAGTGTTCCTCCATTACTATGTTAGTTTGACAAATGAGTCTCAACACTGATTTACAGGTGACCGATCATGTTAAACGTACTGACTCTTTAGTAAAACATTTAAGGTTTTTGATAAAGTCCCACACAAAAGGCTAAAAAAAGGGGGTGCAGCAAATAAGAACAAATAATAGCACAGGAAAATATTTTCTCATGAGTAGAGGAATGGCTGACAAATAGGCAACAAACCCAGCCTTTAAGAACATAAGAGCTTGGTTTGTCTGCAGTATTTAAGACCTTCTACGCGGATATGCTGTACTTTTATCAACACTGACAGACTGAACACAGTCTGAGGGTCTCATTACTTCAAACTCCTCATCTTCCATCATTATTCTCTGTATTGGACTGAAGAAGCCACTAGTTGGCGAAACATTTCCAGAATAAAAATTCCCTAATGTTTCCCAAGCACCTCAATCATCAACTTGTCGGTTTTCTAAACCATAAATACATGTGTCTTGTTCATCAACTTGTCGGTATTGTATACCATACATAAAATGATACTTGTCTGACACTGCAACACCTGCTTTATTATATAAATGG